AAAAATCAATTTTTAGGTCTGGGGCTATATATTAGTGGCACAATATTTGCTTAGCATTTATGAAGCCTGGATTCATTCCCCAAACCCCCCACCCACACCCACACCCACACCCACACCCACACCCACACACACACACACACTTTTTTCAAGCCAAAATGTGTCACTTGCTTATACACATTTTTTTTTTAAATTTGGTTGTCAAGACAGTCCTGAAACTGAGGCTCAGAAAAATTAAGTAACTTGCCTAAAGTCAATAGCAATTAAGTGACAACAAAAAGTATTAGAACTCAGTTCTGATTCTGACTCCCCTGCAATTTTTTTTTTGTTTTTTTTTGTTTTTTTGTTTTTCTCCGGTACCAGGAACCGAACTCACGACCTTGCGCTTGCCAGGCAGGCGCTTTTGCCGCTGAGCTAAATCCCCAGCCCCTCCCCTGCAATTTTCAATATGCAATTATGTCAAGCATGTTAACATGCCATAAATAATGAAGCAAATCTAAAAACCATTACCTAATAAGTGAAATGAAGTTTGATACACTGTATTCTGATACACTGTGTCAAAAACAATGATGTAGGGCTGGGGATATAGCTCAGTGGCATAAGTGCCTGCCTGGCAAGCTCAAGGTCGTGAGTTCGATCCCCGGTACCGCAAAAAAAAAAAAAAAAAAAACAATGATGTAGCAGTTAATTATTTTTAGTAGACATATGTGTACTTAATAACCAAAATTTATACAACTACAAACACATTTTCAATCTACAGTTTAGGTTAGTTGTAATTTTGGCAATGTGGCCAAATTAGAAAATTCTCAAGTGGTCTGAACACTTTAAACACTAAACCTAGTACCAATAATTTAATCATTTCACTTATAAGACGAAAAAGAGTCCCTGAAGGAATGGCTAAGAAAGTTTGCTTGGAAGTATCTGGAGCAGTTAAGTAAAAATTTGGTAGTGAAAATAATTAACTTCTAAGAAGTAGGCTAATGTAAAACTTAAGATTTATCGGCCCTGGAACTTTGTTCACTTTAAGTTTATCACAATCAGAAAAAAGTCCCAGTATATCCCATGGTCAGACAACAGTGAGCAGCAGAAAGAAATTCTGAAGAGACATTTTACTTTATAATGTCAATACTCTTACTTAACAGTGTACATATTCAGAGACATCTGGCAAAAAATATACAGACAGAGGTCAAGACTGAAACATGCTATTATTAATATAATGAAAATGCTTTCATTCTTTAGCATTATTCACCCTTGATTCCTTCTCTTTTCTGTATCTTTTATTTTCTTTATACTAAAGTATCCAATGCAAATAAGAAAACTCCTAATTACAAATTTTAGGCCTCCTTATCAACCACAAAACAGTTCACTCCATGAGTATATGTGCCCTATCCTGATGTTTCTTCAAAGGTGTAATGATTACATAGTCACACACATATCTATGATAGATGGCAGTCTTCCCTGGCTTATTCCCTTTAAAAACTGTCTACTATATTTGTACACCTCTTTTACCCCAAATTACTTATCTATAAATACAAAAACAAAAGCAGTGAAATCTATAGCCGAGAAATATCTGAAAATTGCCCTATTCTATTTTATCCCATTATAACCTGCACTGTTCTTTTCTCAGGATTTCTCTTATAAGGTAGTCTGCTTTGATTATGAAAGAGAACAAAGACATTTTATAACAAAGTAAGGTTTAAAACCAATGCCCATTTTAAGGAAGCCTCCTTAGTATATTATAATTTTTATAAGTTATAATGTTAGTATTAATCACTCATTTGAAATTAATTCTCAAATCTGTAGTTTTAAATTTTCACAAGATTCTAATTGTTTTTAAACAAAACTTAGCTTATCATTTCTGAGTATTTTCTGTCAGTTCCATCCCTTCACTTTTATTATCATATAATTCCATATTTACAAATAATTTAATTTTTAAAAACCACCCAGATAAAGTACGTAATCTCTACACTGACATTTTAAATCCTTAGAATACTCTATTTACTCACAGATAAATGATGCGTTATTTGAAAACCGAAGACTCCCTCTCAAAGAAATAAATCCTATCATTCCCTCATTTAAAATAAAGTTGCTGCTTCTGGCTGTGAAAAGTCTAAGAAGTTGTCTCCAGTCATGTGTGTATTAATTAAAATACTGGCAAGGAGGCACATACAATTTTAAGGGAGTACTTCTGTTGTACTTTGATGTGTTAGCAGATTATGAGCAGAAAAAAAAAGGTTAAAAGCTATTACATTTCATTTTAAACAAAAACTTAAAACTGAATATATCTAAAAACTGGAGCTATGACTGACAATAACAATCCATAACTTGTGCTAGTTTTTCACATTTTGTATAATTAACAGGTATTTGCATTAAATCTATGACTTATTTCTCAAAATATTAAATCTTCTGTCCGATAAAGAATTATAAATACTTGGCACCATGTTTCAAATTACTTTAAAACATGTAAAACAAAGTCAAGTTCAAAGAGCAAACAAAAGTATTTATGAGGACCACTGGGGATTACAACGTATAAGGAAACACAGCTGTCCTTTAGGAAAAGGCAGAGCCTGGGGATATCACTCAGTGGTACAGGCAACTGCCTAGTATGTGTGAAGCCCTGAGTTTCCATTCCTAGGAAAGAAAACAAAGAGAAAAGAAGAGAAAAAAAGAGAAAGAAAAGAAAAGACAAAACAAAACAAAACAAGCAGGCAGCAACAGCCAGGGAACTCCTGAGTATCAGGCGGCTGAGGTGAGGATCACCTGAACCCAGTAGCTGGAGGCCCGTACAAGTAACATACTAAAAAACTGTCTCAAAAATTTAAAAAGAGAAACAGGAAAAAGAAAAAAGAAATTATAGAAACAATCTTTTCTTTGTGTGCTTAAGCACCAAAAACAGATAAACAAAAAACTAACACATTTCCCTAAATGAGTCTTGCTTAAACTGTATGTTCCACTGTGATTATAAGAATATTATCTCTTAAACATTTATGCCTGATTCTAAGTAATACAAATGGGCACATTAAGTCAATCTTAGAAGACTTCATTCAAACTGCATATATTGGGGCTGGGGATTTAGCTCAGCAGCAAAAGCGCCTGCCTGGCAAGCGCAAGGTCGTGAGTTCGGTTCCCGGTACCAGAGAAAAACCAAAACAAACAAACAAACAAACTGCATATATTATAGCACAAACCTTGTCCAATAAAGGATATTTACAGAATATTTTAGGGAGGGAGGGAGAAAAGCATGGTAGGAATTGAAAGTTAGCAAGAGCCAACTGGGTATGGAGTATTTTTACTCTAATAAAATCTTTAGAAAAAACCATAAAATTCCTTCAGACATGTGACCTTAAAGTGTTGTCTACTGTCTACTTATCATAAAGTGAAGATTATTCTACAGCAGGTGAAGTAGATCAGGCACATTTCTATATGTCCTCAGTATACATCACTAGATAAAAAAATTTCTTCCTATAAATGTATTGAAGATTATGTATGTAATTTTTTGTGCACAGAATAAATATATAACAAGGAAAAGCAGCAAATGATACGATACAGTGTAGCAGAAACTGCTCCAGACTTGAAACAGATTTAATGAGAAACAAATGTAGCATATATATGGTCCCTTGGAAAAATTAGAAAAAAGTTACTCTACTCTGGGTCTCCACAGCTGTGCCCGCTCAGTGAAGTGCGAAGCTGGATGCAAGGCTCCATCCAAACTCTCCACTGGTGCACACGCTGTGTATATATATGCATCAGGTCCAGAATTGGCCAATTCAAACAAGGTCCTACACAGCAATTACTAGTTTTGTGCCTTAAGCAAGTGATTTATCTGAGGTTCAACTTCTTTATCTCCCAAATGCAGATTATAGTTCTAGTTCACAGGGTTATTTTGAGTATTACTGCAGAGACTAGTATTTGTTAACACACCCAGTGCAAGGCTCAACAGACATGTAAGTGAATAGCCAAAAGGCCAAAAGATAACAACGACAACAAAAACTCATAAAAAAGTAGAAGTATTTCTTTTTTTCACATCTAAAAAAACCCAGTAAATCACTTAGAAATAAAGCACTTCACTTGAGTTAGTCTAGTTTTAAAGGCAGCACAAATTAATGTACAAAGCAGTATTTCTCTGATTTCTATATTATTCTAACATATTCTATTTTCTAATATATTTTAAATTATTTTTTTCTGCATTCACGGAGTGCAGGAAAGGCAGGTAAAAAATTCAATATTCAAACTTTTTAAGTTTGAGTATACGCAGTCCACATCAATCAATCTCAGAACCACAATGTCTACACTGAGGAGGTATTTAACTTATTTATCAGTGAAATTATCTGGTCACAGACCTCTTTCATATATACATAAAACTTACAGGACTGGTTCAACTTTTTTTTCCACAGAACAGTTTGGATAGTGTATGGAATTTTGAGCCACACTTTATATGTATGATTCCATATGAACAGCACTTACTTATGTTACTGACAGTTCTTAAAGATATAAAATAGATTTTAAGCTGCAGTTATTAATTTCACTGCTACTTGACAAACTAGGGAAATGCAAAATCTGAAAACTACTTTTCAATATTTGACATAAAAGGGGGCTGGGGATCTAGCTCAGCGGCAAAAG